TTGTATTGGATGGTTTTGACATTATGTAAGTGATACATCACCCCTCCCAACTAAATGTCAAACTTGCAGAAACAACAAACTTCTTCACCCCTCCCAACTTTCCAACGACACTTCCTCTTCTATCATGTTAGTATTTTCTTGGCTCTCTTGATGCCACCTTAAGCACAACGTTTTAAGTTATATCGTAATTTGTACAAATTTGCAAGCCTATCACCATGAAATATTTTTATATATGCAGTGTTTGGAGTTTTATATGGGTGAAACTCATCCATTTTTTGTTCGAACTTGAGGCAAAATACCTGAAATACAAATATATAAAACTTCAGACATTTTCTTTGCTAATCCATCATAGATAACGCTGCATAATTCAAATAGACAACATTTACTTTAAAATTTAAACAAGACAGGTAGTCATAGGCCACATTAATAAACTTAACAAATAACACAAACAAGGAAAATTCACCTCTTATGATATTGCCTACTTCATGCAGACAACTATACAGGCTGAATAATAACAGACATTTGCTTCCTCTTGTTGGTGATGTCCAAAAGATTAGAATTTTGTATTCCTTGAAGTAAATGAAATGCAATTCTTGGGAGTAAATTTTGGAGGTTTGAAACTTGATCTTACTTTTCAATTAGATTTTGAAAATAAGGGCATCTTTCTCTTGCAAAAACACTTGATTGAGTTCTTTTGAAAAACTCAACTGAATTCTCTTGCTGCAACAAGAAATGATACTTCATGTGGAGACTCTGATTCATAATTAAGGCCTCGAGTCTCCTCATTTTGCTGGAGAACAGCAGCATAACAAATTGTAAGTATCCTATAAAAAAGCAAAATGACATTTGTATTTGGTTCTTCCATCCAGCATCCCTTTATAAGGCAGCTATCCTCTGCATTACCACTCGGCCATGTCTCTGCCAACTGCTTTGCGGCTGCCAGTTCTACATCACTAGCACGTGTTCCATACTGAAGACCAACAATAGAGCATTTCAGAAAGTCCTTTCGATTGCATGTCTAAGTGCCAATTTTTTCCGAGATGATTGTATCAAGTTATCAGCCTGCCCCAACTCCTCATTTAAGTTTAAAGTACAAGCTTGAGCAAGAGTCCCTGTCTCATCATCATACATACTGCTACATTGATTTATGAATGATACATGTTGGAATTTCAGGACTTCAATGAAAACATAGAGGGGTCTGGGAATTAAATAACCATACAAGATAAGTGCAATGAGCAAATGCAGAAGGCAGACAACTCAGGCTCGCATAGATCAGTTGAATTACTGATATTATCAAAAGGTTGCAGGTACCATCATTTTAGCATGTCGAATTTTATATTTAATTCAAAATAATGGAACTAACACATGATATAAAGAGAAGGAGGCTAAAAAGGACAAGGAGGCGGGAAAGCAAATAACATGGTCCATGGCCAAACTAACATATTTCCATGCTTCAACTCCAATCATTCACATTTCAATATGTACAGAGAAAAGGATAAGTGAGAATCAAGTACATCAATTGACAAAAACAATTCAAATAAGCACATTTACATACATCATTTCAGTTTATCACAAGTGACACCACATTCAAGTTTTTTCATAGATTCTAGTTACACAAAAGCTATTATCCTCGTGTCCGTCTTACGCCAGCCATTTTCAATATAGGACATAACAGAGGTATCAAAAAGTAACATTGCAATCAAACCTTTGAAGGTCTTCAGTTAAGCAAAAATAGCAAAATGGACTCTCCATTTATCTTGAAGTCTACGGTACTTTAAAGTTTATCATTGATGATCATAAACATCATAGTTTGACGCTCAAGTTCACCCATGCGTATAAATAATTCCATCTTTTTGACATCATCACAAAGAACCATTGTTGCTTTGATGCGTTGCTCTGTGGAGTACAACTCAAATATGGGAGATTCAATGATGGAATAAATTTGATCACGAAGATCAGATTGGTCGCGATTTCCAATCTTGTCAATCAAAGCACCCATTCGTTTGTCTTGACTGTCAGTAAAATTTTTTATAACCTCCACCATACCCTTAAGAAATGTCTCAGAATCATTTTCCGAAATCTTTTTTCTTTTCTTGCAATTCTCCTTTTCATTGACATTAGATGATCTTTTGGTATACTCACCTTGTTTATTGGTTTGTTGAGATTCAGCTTCTTCTGGTTCAAATGAGCCAGCATTTTCATTTTGAGATGCTTCAGGAAATGCAGTAGCTCCAGTAGCATTTTCAGCTTCTCCCGTAGTCATATTAGGTCTATGACTAGAACCGGCTTCTTCATCGCCATCAAGATCAATAGGAAATTCTCCATCTTCTGTTGTTGCCTTTTCCCCCAAAGTGATGACTATATGAAGACACTTAATTAGGACACATAAATAGCAATAACTGATAACAATTCAGACAGTTATATTAGAATCAACCAGAAAAATTAAAATTGCTAGTGTCTCGGTAACTTACACCAGAGAAAATTTCAAGGTAAAAGATTGACCACGAGAGAATTCATGTCACAAATATTTAAAATTTCCTCAGTAGTCAGTACTACAGCTGTGTGCAATTCATGTCACATTCATACACAAGTTTCCATTTACAGAAAGCACAAACACAATGCAATTCACAGGGATACATGTGCTCTTATAGATGCTCAGTGTATGCTATAAATGCATTGTATAATAAGCATATATAAACAGATATTAGTAGTAGCGAACATCAGGTAACTTCGTGCTGTAAAACGACAGATTGGTAATGAAAGGCAATGTACTAAGAAAGCGCAACTCTATTAGACCTTTATCTGGAAAAAGCTGGAAGAAAGGCAAGAAAGAAAGGTTGCCTACTACTAGTGTAAATTAACACCAAATTTACACTAGCATACCTATACATGTACACACTAATACACAAAAGAATACAACAAACATCCACATAGAAGTACAGGTGTACACACACTGGCGCTTAGTTATCCGCGTGAAATTGTGTTACACATAATAAAAACACGAGAGTACATCCAAAATAAGAGACAATTTTTAGACATCTCGTCTTATAGTCATAGTACGTATAAATTAAACCTTATCATTTTCAAGATATTTGAATAAAAAAAGAGCTAAGTGACTTGGAGGTAATATCTTCTCCATAGCAGACCTGATTAGCACACTCCAACTATCCTTTTTCTCGACTCCAATCAGCTGAAGCATAATAATCCACTAAAGCATTGTGTCTTCATTTATAAGCTTAAGTCAACTAGGTCATACTAGGTAAGATGGTGAGTTCAACATGTGAAAGTGTTCATGTACCATAATACCTTATTCTGACAACTCAATTTTTTTATGCAGTTTGAAGTAGGATCTGGAAGAACGCAGGTAAAATTTCATGGAATATATAATTGTTTAAATTTTGTCAATCCCGTCTTGAAATACCTCTAACAATGATAAAATCAGGAGGCCTCTTTTATTTACCACTTCCAAAGAAGACAAAATTACTTCAATACTTATGGAACAGAATTTGACCCAAAATCTGGATATGGATATTGTAAGAATAGATTATTGCATCTGAATTCAGTTTTCTTACATCTCAATTGTTTACTAATCTTCAAGGCTCCAAACAATTTCTCAACAACAAATCATGTTACAAAAATCATTCCGTGTAGAATGGGGTATGCATGACATGGGTGTGTGCTAGTGCAGATTCTACCAAAAAAATGCATGTATCTGCAATGGGAGACTTATTCACCTCCATAGGATTCTTACCCATAGCCAAATCAATGTCACATAAACAACAACTCAACAAGCATTTGTTATATCTATGCCCGAAGTCGGTCCTTAGATAAACTAGAGCTTCTAGGTATAGGGAGAGGGCTTCACCCAGGAATATTATATTTGACGGAACAAATCAAGTAAAACTGTAACAAGCTTCAAATATCAGTATTTATTTATCATTTACCAGTGGCGGCTTCACCAACAGCAGAGGGAGTGTTTGGCATCACCCTAATAAATCGTCCTTGACCTGCCCATTCCTTGAGAAGGGAGAAAAATAGAATATGCTTCAGCAAAATGGATAATAAAAAATTAGAAAAGTGAATCAGTAACAGACAAGATATGCATGCTTGCGTGCATCTTGTTTCAGTTTACGCTCTACTCAGAGTAAATATAAAGGTAAGCATCAGTAGACATTAAGGGGTCATTTGGTAGAAAGATTGATAATGCAGGGATTAGCAATGCAGGGATTAGTAATGCAGGGATTATTTTTTATCAAGTGTTTGGTTCATTATTTCTCACCTAATTTTGTGTGTGATTTAAAACTCTACAAGAAGCTTATTTCCACTTATACCCTTGAATTATAATTTGATTTTTTTATTTTATATATAATATTATGACATATTTTCATGTTCTTCCATTTATATATAGTATTATGACATAAACAAAATCAATACACATAAAATGAGCAGAAATCCATAAATTTTAAACATAAAACGTTTCAACCCACAAAATACTAATTTAATTATCAAGCACATCTCAATACACTTATTTAGAACCATTTTGGGAACAAGAACAAACGAAAAGAAGAAAAGAAGAAAGTTCAAACCTTGTTAGAAAATCAAATAGTTGGAGCTGGCTAATAGTGAAGATGTTGTTCAGTATTAACCCTAAGCTGCTGCACCTTCTCCATCGCCAAAGAAGAAAAAATCCCGCCAAAGAAAAAGGAAAGGCGCCAAAAGCAGAACATCGTGGGTTTCTTTACAAATTGGGAAGAGTGTATAAAGAAATTGAGGGGCAGTTCAGTCATTTCGTTGCCTTATCCAAGGCTTACTAAACATGGTATTAGTAATCCCTAGGTATCCTTGGTATTAGATAAGACCACATATGGTGTATTAAGTTATCCATGTATTAGGTATGTTTGAGTTGAATTGTGCAACCAAACATTGTATTGGGTGGACTAAATTTTAATCCAAGGATTATTTTAATTAATACATCCTACCAAACGACTCCTTAAAACAGTGTGTAGTTTCGTGGAAACTGTTGGTGGAGGAATCACTTTACCTTTCAACAATACTGAAAACATTTATTAATGGCGTACGGTACCTTTTAGCTCCACCAATCCAATCCAATGCCTTCCACTTTGCACTAAGAATCAAATTCCTTCCTTTTCTCCTTCAACGGTCCCCAAATTCACTCAAATGAACTAAAATGGGTAACATTTTCAGATCTACACTTCATAAAAAGAGTAGTCGAAGTAGTAGTGATTGCAGTTCTTCTCGAGGAACGAGGAGTCGGGAGATTTCTTCTTTTCAATCTTCAATTAATGAGAATTTTAGGTCAATTCCGGTGAAGAATTTGTCTTCCGGTTCGGGTTCTGTGAGTTCGAAGAAGGATTGGAGTAATTGCAGTGAAAAGGAACCGGGTTCTGTGAATTCGAAGAAGGATTCGAGTAATTGCAGTGAAAAGGAACCGGTTTCTGTGAATTCGAAGAAGGATTCGAGTAATTGCAGTGAAAAGGAACCGGTTTCTGTGAATTCGAAGAAGGATTCGAGTAATTGCAGTAAAAAGGAAACGGAAAAGATGATGAAGGATAAGAAGAACAAGTATTACTATATTCCGGATAATTTCAAATCAGTTGATCAGGTTTTTGCTCGAACTCTTTCATTTATGCCATGCGAATCGAGTCGTTAAAGTAGATACTAATGTTTTGTACATCGAAATGAGCTTTGTATTTGACTATTGAGTTTGAAAACATAAATAATATTTTGGGCGCATCTTAAAACGTCTTTTATCTCTAGAATTAGAGCATGTTATTTAGGTAAAATGAACATTTTTAAGTTTACAAGAGGGATAATGTTATAATGATTGGAAATTTCAGAGACACTTAAACTAAATTAAGGTGCTATTATCCGAATCCATTTTTTTGTCCAAACATCTCCCACGCGTCTCAACTACGTGGAGACATGAAGTGTGTCACGTAAGTCAAAAGGTGTACAAAATTACAAAAAAAAAAGTGTTCGAGAAGTCAATAGGACCTTAGTTTAGTTAAAATGTGTGTCTGGAATTTTAGTCATACTCTAAGTACTTGTGCCTTATCTCTTTACAAAAATATATTTTTAAAATAGCTGTAGTATTTAGGCTAGCTTTTGTGCAGCTCGACTAATTTTATGGGTACTTGCTATTTTCCATCGATACATAGTATATTTGTCTTCAGATTTACCTAATAGTTCTCCTCCAGTAATACATTATTTGTATTACTTTCCTTTTTAATCCGTTTAAAAATAATGTCTCTTCCTTTTTTTGATGACTAATCAAATTCAACTTTTCACATGACATGTTTAAGAGCACAAGATTATTCCCTCCGTTTCAATTTGTTTCTTTTTAAGTCCGTTTAAAAAAAGAACGTCTCTTTTCCTTTTTTGGGAACTCTATAATTTCAATTTTCCACGCGATATGTTTAAGACCACAAGATTAATAGACATTTTGGTACAACCCACGTGTCCTTAGTTGAAGACCACAACATTCAAAAGTTTCTTAAACTTCATGCTGAATCAAAACCAGACAAACAAATTGAAACAAATGGAGTATTTTTTTTTTTATCAAACTAAAAATATGGAATAAAAGAGGGAGCAATAAGTTGGCAACTTCTTTTTAAACTCATATTTGGTAGTTTTTAAGACACTCTATCTCTATTAATACAAGTTAAAAAGCTTGATGGAAAAAATGCTTATGTACCATGCACATGATTATATCTTTATAAACCTATAGTGTATAGAGTTTTGTATGCAGTGTATTGCTAGATGTAAACTACGATAGTTGAAGCGATTAGTCAAGGGTAAAAATTGTGGTCAAGGATGAAATTAAACATCCGTTCTGGTTCTAATTATTTAGACAGGTAGAAAGAGCAAGAGTAGAGGTATTAGGAGATCTCACATAGAATTTATGTGTACTTCCTTTTTCGGGAGGCTGCAATCTAAAGATCGTTTTACAAAATGCTGTAGTAGAATGAAAATTGAGCTCATGGCAACACTAGGCTTCTGTATATTCAGTGTCAAATTCAGAAAATGTCAAAAGGACTAAATCCGGGGAAGGACAACAACGTTTCATCTAGTTATCTATTATACTGCACCTGTTTACTGTTAGGTATAAGTGCCCGTTTATTAATATATTGTTGCTTGCTGTAAATCTAATATTTCTGAATCACCACTTCACTTTCAGGTCACTTTAGCTCTGAGAGAATCAGGGTTGGAGTCATCAAATTTGATTATTGGGATTGATTTCACGAAAAGTAACGAATGGACAGGTTAGTTGAGTAGTTGAATTTCTTTGTCAGTTGAGTATAAATCCTCAGGTGGCAGTAGCATATGGTAGTTGTGAATGTACTGTGACCATTAAAATTTAGCTTTTCCTGATGTTTGTGGCAATAGCAAACAGCTTGTGCCAAGTCGAATACCTGAGAACAAATAGAATGAAAATTGATTTATCCAACTTTCGTCTTAGTTTTGCTAATTCACTTGTTCCACTGTACTGTTTTCAACATTTTTTGTGTGTGATTAGATGTTCTTTGGATTGTTTACTCTGAAGGTAAAATTATTTGTTTTCTTTCTGAAGGTAAAGTTTCGTTCAACAACAAGAGCTTGCATGCTATAGGCAACTCAGTCAATCCATATGAGAAAGCCATATCTATCATTGGAAAGACATTGTCTCCATTTGATGAAGATAATTTAATTCCTTGTTTTGGGTTCGGTGATGGTACGTTCCATTCCTAAAATTTCTGTGTGTAGACTATACTTACTCTGCTGTTTTGGCATTCACTATCATGTTTGTCTTTTTGATCTTCTGTTGGCTTTTTGTTTTGCCATCAAACTCCTTTTTTTTTTTCATTTTTGGGTTGTAGCGACGACGCATGATCAAGACGTGTTTAGCTTTCATAGTGATCACTCTCCTTGCCATGGCTTTGAAGAAGTCCTAGCTTGCTACAAGAAAATAGTTCCAAATCTGCAATTATCTGGTATCCTTCTGTTCTAATTTGCAAAGTTATGCAAATCACTTCCTTCATTTCACCTTTTCCTTTAAACGTAGCAACCTCTTGTCTAAACCACGTCAATGTGATTGTCCTGAGTATGTCCTTTTATGTTCAAGGGCCAACATCTTACGGGCCAGTAGTAGATGCTGCAGTAGATATAGTAGAGAGAACTGGTGGACAATACCATGTTTTGGTTATCATTGCTGATGGCCAGGTTCTTAAATGCTTCTATCTCTACCTCCTCCCTTAATCAAATAAAACTCACCTGCATGCACGCGCACATACGTGGAACCTTGTTAACGATAGTCATACACTTCTCGCTGTAAAGTGTTGACACTTCCTCTTGTCCTATAGGTTACCAGGAGTGTCAATACCAGTGATTCGGAACTCAGCCAACAAGAAGAAAACACGATTAAATCTATCGTTACTGCAAGGTATAATGGCATAGATGTATTTTCTTGTTGCTGTAATTCATTTTCAAACCACTCAATGCAGATAAGTCAGGTTACCTTGGGGTGTCGAAACCTTCAGCTATATGAAATATAAGGTTACCGTGGAACAATGTGTTGTGAAGCAGTAACAATAAACCAATGACGTGCTGGAAAATATTTGTTATTGCATGTTCTGGAGCAACGTAATATATTTGATCTTGGCAAAGAGATATCTTCCAAGAACATTGATTTTGTGGACACTGTCTTAAAATGTTTTCTGATAATTCACTTTCTAAAAGAATTATTTACAAAAAAAAATAAAAAATTCAAACATCTAGCATTTGTTCCCAGCATGTATCCTCTCTCTATTGTTCTTGTTGGAGTTGGTGACGGACCTTGGGAAGACATGCAAAAATTTGATGACCGCATACCTGCTCGTGAGTTTGATAATTTTCAGGTATAATTCTAGTATCTTTTAAGTTACATATAGAATCGTCAGTAGAAACAGACATTATTTCTTACAATCCTTTTTTCATGTGCAGTTTGTGAATTTTACTGCTATCATGAAAAAAAATACAAGTGATTCGGAAAAAGAAGCTGCATTTGCTCTTGCTGCACTCATGGAGATCCCTATCCAATATAAAGCTGCTAGAGAACTTGGTCTGCTTGGGTATGGAACACATTACTAGCCATCTCACATCAGTTTATACATGTTATTCAACAAAATGCCTTATATTATGAAGTAGACTTTTTTCGTCTTCTTAGTTTAAGTCCTAAAAATGTGATTCTTAAACCATTAAACACAGGAAATTGTGGTATGCCAGTTAGTTGGTTACCTTAGTTGGTTACCTGAACTTTCACTTATTCCTGATGGTTCGGTACCTCTCTCTCCCCCTCATTATGTATAATAAAAAATAAAATTAACAATCACAGAACACTAAAAAGTAAAAAAGAAAAAACACAGAGTACTTACTAAGTGACAGTAGCAAGTACTGTTTCCGTTACTTGTGGGGTCTGGGGAGGATAGGATATATGCAAACCTTACCCCTACCTTGTGAAGGTAGAGAGACTGTTTCCATTAGACCCTCGACTCAAGTAAAGCAAATATAAATGTCCTGGTGGATGTGTGAGAAAACAAACTTGGATGCAATATCACTAATGCTCTTGAAATTAATCCTTACACTCTATAACTGTCTTCATTGTACTTGTTACTCATTTTGTAATTTTCTTGTATAGAAAAAGGACAGGTAAGGCGAAGAAGGTAGTTCCAAGGCCACCACCAATTCCTTACAGTCGCCGTATGGCAATCCCAACTCGACATCAAAGCAGTTTTTCAGGATCGCCGCAAAATGAACAGAATCAAGTAAGACCTTGTATATTTCTTGGTTTTGAAATTATACGCGAAATTTCGATTCATGTTTCCACTTAATAATAAGAACGTTGAGATTTTTATACTGCCTTTGGTGCTTCTCATGTTGAACATGTCATTTCTCTTTTTGTGAGGTAATTGAGTGATGGAGACCTTAGACACGGATTAGGGTAGTAGGTAGTTAAGTATTGCCTCGCTTATCTGGTAGTTTCTTGTTATTAGAGTTCTGTTACTATTTATTGTTTCCTCTTGTCTTATTTTGTATTTATTGTTCCTTTCAAGACTAATTTGTCATGCTTTCTTTAATATTTTGTCATGGCTTCTTCACTTCCGTTATTTTCTTTTTGTCGAACTGCTTTGAAATGCTTCTCTTTGAGTCGAGTGTCTATCGGAAACAACCTCTCTACCTTTCAAGGTAGGGGTAAGGTCCGCGTATAGACTTCCCTTCCCAAACCTCACTTGTGAGATTACACTAGTATGTTATTGCTAATTGAGTGTTTGGACAATTGATCACTTTTTTTTTCTTTGTTCACAATGAAGGCTTGCCCAGTTTGTCTAATTGGTACTAAGGATATGGCTTTTGGTTGTGGACACATGGTGAGTTCCTTTCCTCTACTATTCAATTTATAGGATGATTTTCATTTCTCTCCTCCATCGATTTCTCGTATATGTCACTCAACTAACAATTATTATCTCATAAAGTAACATTTCGTCTTGATTCCATATTTCTTCGACAAACAAAGTAACTTTTTGAGATAATAATTTTTAGTCAAGTGACCATATGAGAATTCAACTCGCTACTTATATGGTTTTAATGAATTTGATGATCAATTGAATGCAGACCTGCAGAGAATGTGGTCCAAAAGTATCAGATTGTCCCATTTGCCGTCGACGAATAACTAGTCGTATCCGGTTATACACTTGAAATTGCAACCTCAATGAACGGTGTATGTAAATATATGTATATATTTCTCGAATTTAACTTTTGTATATGTCGATAATGTAAAGAATTTTTACATTATCACGTCACTCTTACTATTGTAGCAGGCAACTTACCTTAATTTCAAAATCATAAATTCTACGTTTGTTGGAATATTATCTATAGATGTCTATTTGGTGGTATGATAGTGTATAACTTTTTGTTCATTGTTAGTATATATTAGTTAAAACTCTACTATCTTTTTTTTTTTTTTTTTGGAACCCTAGGATAACCCATAGCCGCTACAACTTCTGCCCTTCGGGTGAGCACTTTGTGCGCATTGGGTAAACTCTCCACTGTGTAATAGTTTGCAAACCACACAGGGAATGTAAACCGCACTAGGCAAGATCTATGCGACAAGCTCGACTCAAAAGGCATTGAGGGGGGATCGATCTCGGGTCATCCGTGTGGATAACCACCCTCCAATCTTATATGATAAAACTAGATGAGTGTTGCCCGTGCTAAGCACGGGCCCAACATTTTAGGCCAAGTAATACTAATATTTTGCACCAGCAATGGTATTGTCATTCGGTCAGGACTTGACTTTTAGTTCCTTGTTTGTTTGCTAAAATAAATGTCTAAAATCACAAAGAACATAAAAGCATAGGCATTCTTTTTAACATAAGGCAACAATCTTCAAAATTACACGTGCCCAACTCTTCCCATAAAATTTATTGCAACCATAGCTTCATGAGCATACTTCATAGGTAAGAACCAGTAACCCCGTCACCACCATTTGTATACATCTAAGTGAGAATTAACTTTGAAATTCACACAAAATAAAAGGAGCACAAACAATGTGTTTGTCTACATTTTGCCCCTAGAAAAATGAATACATTTATCACTTGTGTCTATCATCCATCATCCAAACCTGAAACAACAAACATATTAGCCTGAATAACTTCATCAGTAGTACTTCAAAAGTGTTATTCCAAAAACAAATAAAAGACAAATTTTAAAAAAAGAAAACTTTAAATTGCCAAACTACCCCTAGCTACAAGCAGGCATGTTGAAACTTGAGAAGTTATTCAAAATTTTATATGATTTTTAAAAATATTTTAAGTTATTAATTACTGTGATTTATAATTTTTTAAGCGATTTTGAAGTAATATATATTATTTCGTTCTCCCAATTTATGCGGCATAGATATAATTTCAAAGATTAATCATTTTTATGTCTTTTAAATATTTTAAATTGTTAATTATTGTAATTTGTAGTACCTTTTACGTAATTTTTAAATAATTTTTTTACTTCTTATGTCCCAATTTATGTGGTATTGATATAATTTCGAAAGTTAGCCAATTTTGTTTATGTCTTTTAAATTTCGAAGTTATTAATTATTGTGATTTATATACTTTTTACGTCATTGTCAAATAATATATGTCATTTCCTCTAACCCATGTTATGTGTCACACATAGAATTTTGGAAGTCAAATGATTTTTTAATATTAATTTTAAATATTTTAACTTATTAATTATTGTGATTTAAAGTATTATTACTATAATTTTCAAATATATAACAAGCTAAAAAAAAATGTAAGACAAAACTAAAAGGAAAAAAATGCAGAATTAATGGTCAATTAATGTGATGCAAATGAAATTTGAAGAGGCAGCTAATTGTTGTATATATTTATTTATTTTAAATTAAGTTGTTAATTATTGTTGACTTATAGTACTATTGTGCTTTTAATATCATTTTTATAAATAACATATGTTTCTTCTTTTATCTTAATTTATGTGGCACAATAGAATTTAGAGAGTTAATCTAATTTTTTATATGATTTTTCAATATTTGAATTCAATAATTACAATAATTATAGTACTTTTTATATAAACTTTAAATAATAAATGTTATTTCTTCTATCCTAATTTATGTGACATTAATAGAATTTTGAAGTGTCGATAATTTTTTAATACTATTTTTAAACATTAGTAATGAACAAGCAGTACATTTTTCAAGAGTCAATATTTTGTTACACGGGGCCCAATATATGTTAATTTTTGTGTCTTAATTTATGTTATATCATGTAACTTGAGAAGTTATCGAAATTTTTATATGATTTTAAAAATATTTTAAGTTGTTAATTATTGCAATTTATACTTGTTTTATTACTTTCTTTGTTTAAATTTATGTGGCATATATAGGATTTCAAAAATTAACCTTTTTCTGTTTTTTAAACATATTAAATTGTTAATTTTTGTAATTTATAGTATCTTCTTAACATAATTTTCAAATAATATATGTTACTTCTCATGTCTCAATTTATGTGGCATTGATAGATTTTTTGGAGTCAAGTGATTTTTTTATATGTATTTTTTTTAAATTGTTAATTATTGTGATTTATAGTACTTTTTACGTCAATTTCGAATAATATATGTTTGTCATCTAAGTCATTTCTTTTGTAGCACCAATAGAGTGTCAAGAGTCAATCAAATTTTCTTTTACATAGCTTTTAAATATCTATATTGTTAATTATTATTTCTAGTATTATTTATACAATTTTTTAAATTTATAATCAACAGAAAGAATAATATTAGAGAAATAAATTTAATACAAAGAATATATAAAAAATAGAATGATACAATTTAACTTTAAAATATTTATTTTAATCTTAATAAAATTATTTATAGCTACATAAATATTTATCACTTGTTTTAGATCATAAATTTAATTTTTTTTTTCTTAAACTCTGAGTCAAATTAAAATATAAAATAGAGTGGAGGGATAATATTAAGAGTAATATTTTAAGTACAAAAACACTTAAAAGGCTAAAGGTGTTAGAAAATGTGAGAGACCAAAATAAGGAAGAACTTGTCAAATAAAATTTTAATGGACCCCACTTTATTGGATGACTCTATTTAAAAAGTTGCATAAAGAGCGCGTGTAGTAAACATCTAAGTAAGGACCACACTTTGTAAAAAAACAGATAAAAAAAAGAGTAAAAAAGCACATGGCGCGTAGTAATTAAGTACCAGCTGGGGTCCATAAGTCAGAGTAGTAGTACATTTTGAGAAAGGACGAATAAATAAATACATATATATGTGTTGGGTGTTCTGTCCTAGAGTAATAAAATAATCATGATAGCAGCTGGTACAAGTCAATTACAACGATTATTTTTTATAATACCTAATTTACCCCTTGGTTGGCAAGCAGCAATGCCCTTGCATAATAACATAATTACTAATTTACCCTTGGTCGTCCTGATCGTCTTCACTCTTCTATATATATGCTAAAATATGTTAACTTTTTTGTTTTTCATAATCCAAGAAAGTTATATTCACCATAGTAAAAAGATAAGTTGACGAGTTTTCATCAGAGAGAAATTCTACTAAGTTATTTAAAAATCAAAAAACCGAATTAACGATGACAAAATTGATATATGTTTTATATTTGCTTCGATATGGTTTTATTAATTTAAGAAACTAACATTAAACGGTAAAAATAAAACTGCCGCCGTCTGTGGGGATCGAACCCACGACCACGTGGTTAAAAGCCACGCGCTCTACCACTGAGCTAAGACGGCTTTGTCGATTACAATAACTCTTAATTATAATTATATAGTAATATCATTAACAAGTTTAGATAAGATAATTACATAAATCAAGTTGTATTGAGATCTAAATATTTTCCATACTTGTAGTTTGATTGCATATTCCATTTAATTGTACAAAATTAATTTGCCTTATTTTTTTTGAATAAAAATTATATTTTCTTGATTATGTTTAACTTAAGCATGTGATTATGTTTAACTTAAGCATGGAGTTATGAACGAAAGCAAGATTGACATTGATATTCAAGGTATACTTAAAACTTATGATCGATCTTAAATATATTTCATTAATGATAAAATAAAAATTTCTGAGTCAGGTGTACGCAGACTTAACATCTACCTTTGTGGGACATAAAAACTGAATCTGATAGACACTCGATTCAAAATTTTATTGAAAAATGTCAACAATTAACAAGAACAAACTCAATATAATTCCATAAGTGGAGTCTGGGGTGAATGAGATGTACATAGACCTTTGTGAGATAGAAAGACTTAATCTGATAGACCCTCGACTAAAAATACATACTTTTACAACATTGATTAGCAAACAAATACACTTTCCTTGTACTCCTCTTCATCCATAGTATCACTCAATGTCCTTCCTTTAGTTTCTGGCAAACACAACACAAACAATCCACAAATTGCTATACAAATCCCAAAAACTCCATAAGAAAACCATCTATTTTTCCTCCCAAAAGCTACTAACATTGGACTAATTGCACCACCAAGTACCAATGCTTGTCTCACCATTGACACTGCTGAATTTCTAACACATGTTGGAAACAATTCCACAGTGTAAATTAACAAAACATTAAAACAAGTACATGCACTAAAAAATGAAAAAAGTTCAAACCCCATTTGTAACACTTTAAAATCATCATTTTGTACTATTACACAACCTATGCTACATATTCCACTTAACATAGCAAATACTAATAGTGATTTTTTCCTAGTTGATTTTCCAATTAGGAAAAATGTTACTATTGATGCTGGCAATTCTGATAGTGCATTAAGTGTAACACTTAGGTATAGATTAAAAGGTAAATTTCCAACACCTAATGGCATCCCATAATATACCATTCCTATACCAAAACCAACCAACATAACCGATATAAGTCGTCTGAAAGCCCAATTTTTTTTGATCAACATCTTGATAGCTGAGTAGAGATTGATTGTTGATGACTCGTTCGAGTTCTGTGTCAGAAAATAAGATAAGTTACTTGCTACAACATGTAAAAGTTTCATACAATGACGATATAGTTAACTTTGCTCAAATATATAGTTTAAGCACAAAAAAAGAAAATAGAGAGGGGTTTGAAATCTTACCAATTATTTATCGAAACACACTTTAACTATTAGTTGTTCTCTTTTTCTATACCAGAACGACAATGATATTTCAAGTAGGAAAATGGAACAACTGATAGTTCATGATGTGTGTTTCAACAAACATTTGGTAATAGTTAATTAAGATAGAATATTGGACGTAAAAAGCGACATTCTTTTATAAAAAGCGACACAAACATTTGGTAATAGTTAATTAAGATAGAATATTGGACGTAAAAAGCGACATTCTTTTTTAAAAGGACATAAAAAGGAAAGTAAAACAAACAAACTGAAACAGATCGAGGGAGTAATAACTTACATTATCATGTTCTTGATCTTCAAATTCAAAAAAGGAGCCAAAGAAGCACTACAACAAATTTGACTATCAAAGACAAATGATTTCGTCACTTATAAATCATATTTCGTCACCAAAGATCTTGTGTGACAAAAAATATTTCGTCAGTCAGTCGTCACTAAATGTGCGTCACTAAAAGTTTACAAAGACAATTTAGTGCATCGTCACTAAAAAGTTATATTAACTACAAAAAGAAAAATCGTCCCCAAATGTGTCGATATTTGTGACGAATTTATTTGTCATAAAAAGTGTAAATTTTTTGTAGTTAATAGTATGATTTTGTCACTAAAAAGGTTATCTTCACTGACAAAATTACATCGTCACTATTTATGTAGTTCAGTCAGTGACAACATCAATTGTCTCTAAAGTTATATTATTTCGTAGTTGAACAAATGTAATTTTGTCACTAATGACTGTTTTTTATATACAAAAATTATTTCGTCCTAAAATATATAAATTAGGGATAAAATTATCATTATAAAAAGGTTAACAATTTCGTAGTTAAATTTATCACCGTGTCACGAAAAATATAGTTTTTACTGACAAGATATAATTGTCACTATAAATTATCATGATTAGTGACAATATATTTTGTCACAAAATGTAGTCGACTTATGACGAAATAATTTATTTGTGAGAGAAATATTTGTCTTGAAAAGTTTGATTTAGTTGTTGCTAAAAGTTACCTTTGATGAAATAATCTTTTGATGCTCACAAACATTCGATGACATTTAATTATTTCGTATTGATATTATTTTTTAAATTAGAATACATAAAATTGAAAAATAAATAATAAAAATATCTCAAATAATCATAAAATTCATCCATTATCATAGCATTAAAAACAACAAACATTTGATGATGTTCAAATTTGTAAATGGTAATAATTCACTAGTTTCTCGTTAATTTGATAATTTATAAATGGTGACAACTTTTCTCATATTTTTGAAGATTAATTAAGGATAATTTATAAATGGTGACAAATTTTCTCATATTTTAGAAGATTAATTAATTCATCAATATAAAAAATTTACTAGGAAAAGTTTAAGTCATAATATGTAACATGAAAATTTATTAAATTAACATCATGACAAATATTAAATTTATTTTTTAAATTTAGCAGATATCATATAATAATATAAACTCAACACAATAAAATAAAACATTTAACATAGTAACAAAAAGTGTCTCTCATGATCATATATATTTTAGAATTAAAATAATATTGAAATAATCTCATTAAAGATTCTTATATGATCCTAACGGAAGTACATAATGTTAGTCGTCAATAAATAAATAAAAATGTTACTCCTTATATGCTAATGTAGCAAACTTATCTAATAACTTTACTCTTCATTCAATTTTTCAATGTACCTGTGTGAAAAGGAAAAAGATATAATTTTAATGTGTACTCACTGCTATTTTGATTTAAACATGATATATTATAAAATTTTAATTGTAAAGTTGATATTAGAATGAGAAATAAATAGAAAAGATACTCACTCAAATTCTTAAAATTGCCAATCCTTCTTTTCTAAGGATATAGACCTTGAGCTTTGTCTGCAAACAAAAAAAAATCATGAATCATATTTTTTTAAAAGTTTCTAAAAATTTCTAACGCTGAACAAATTCATAGGCTAAACACAAGTAACTCGTTTAAATTATCATACTATCATTTTAAAAAATACACTAGAGTGAAGGGAGACAAAGTTCACAAATTAAAATAAATTTAAGAAACCCACTGAAAATTCAAGTTTACTAGGAAAAGTCTAAAGTCATAATATGTAACATGAAAATTTATTAAATTAACATCATGACAAATATTAAATTTATTTTTTAAACTTAGCAGATATCATATAATAATATAAACTCAACACAATAAAATAAAACATTTAACATAATAACAAAAAGTGTCTCTCATGATCATATATATTTTAGAATTAAAATAATATTGAAATAATCTCAATAAAAGATTCTTATATGATCCTAATGGAAGTACATAATGTTAGTCGTCAATAAGAAAATAAAATTGTTACTCCTTATATGCTAATGTAGCCAACTTATCTAATAACTTTACTCTTCATTCAATTTTTCAATGTACCTGTGTGAAAAGGAAAAAAATATAATTTTAATGTGTACTCACTGCTATTTTGATTTAAACATGATATATTATAAAAATTTAATTGTAAAGTTGCTATTAGAATGAGAAATAAATAGAAAAGATACTCACTCAAATTCCACAGTAAAATTGCCAATTCTTCTTTCCTAAGGATATAGACCTTGAGCTTTGTCTGCAAACAAAAAAAAATCAAGAATCATATTTTTTTTAAAGTTTCTAAAAATTTCTAACGCTAAACAAATTCATAGGCTAAACACAAGTAACTCGTTTAAATTATCATACTATATTTTTTTTAAATACACTTGAGTGAAGGGAGACAAAGTTCATAAATTAAAATAAATTTAAGAAACCCACTGAAAATTCAAGTGAGGTATAGCAGAAAGTAAAAGAGAGTTGCATATTTTCAAATTATTTAAGGAGTATGCATCTCATGATAAAACACTGAAAATTCAATAAAAATAAAAATAAAAATAAAGATAATGGGAGAGAAGTATTACGTGGGGAGATAAGGAGTTTGATTGGCTAATAACTAAAAGAGAGGTTTTGTGGGAGAAGGAAAAGGAAATGAGAGAATTACGTGTGTGTTTTTCCTACAAATTTGGAAATGAATACTCTCTTTTAATTTCTTCATTTGATTTTGGTAAATACCTTTATCTGATTTTTATTTGACATAAAATTTAAGAAAGTAATTTAATTTATTTGATTTTGACTTGACATAAAATTTAAGAAAGTAAATACGATTTTTGAATCGTGTAATCTTAAACTAAAAATATACGGAATGTGTAAAAAATAGTTTTTAATCTTCTAATTTTAAATATGTCATGTGAAAAATTAGAATTAAAGTGTTACCAAAATAAGGGAAGAGAAATCATTTAAAAATATAAACTAAAAAAGGAGTATGGAAAATAAATTAAAACAAAGGGAATTATAAATATAAAAAAAAAAGTTGGGTAGAAAATTAAGTATTTATCATAATATAAAGACACTTAGTAGTCATGCAGGGAAATGTGTTGGTTTCATTTTATTTTCACACTTTATATTTATTATATTACCCATAATTTATGGCTACAAACAATAAAATTTGTGTAGAAAGAAATAATAATTAAGACATAAAAATATTATGAGTTACAATTTGTATAAATCTTCTAGTTCTTCATTTTCAAAATCAATCCAAGCATTTTTAGTTTGATCTTGAATTTATGTTGGATTTTGATATATATTTTGATTTGAATTTGATTTCTCATAAGTACTTTGATGACCGCCTTAAACAAGTTTTCCCACAAACAAGTGAATTTGATCTTGAATGTTTTGATATTTAATTTATCCTTGTCCTTTATTTTCAAATATTTATAATATGTACACAAATGTTTGAATGCTTGCAACTTATAGGAAATTTGTAATTTTGATCCATGAGTTTAGTTTTTGAAATTCTAATGACTTTCTTAATTTTGACCTCCTATTTATAATTATAAGATGAAAAATTATCAGGTTCAAATGACATGGTGATATTTAATTATTGAAACATGTCAATTGCGGTTGTATATTTTCATTGTCATCGAATTTAATCCTATGTCATTTTGATAAGTGACATGATCTTATTTTCTCTTTTATTTGATTTGGCATACCACACCAGCTGACATGTAGCACCGAACTAGACCTTTAGAATAAGATGAAATTTTGGGTTTGGCAAAGTGATATAATCTATCATTTGTAGCCCAATTAAATGAGTTAACGCACAATATTATGGTGCACATGATACATTAGGTATCAAGTAAGAAATTTTAATACTGTGATTGCACTATTATGATATATATATATATATATGCATTTTAAGTTTTTTTAGTATTAGGTATTTATAAATATACCGAAATGTGTAGTTACATAAAAAAATTATAGTATTATATCATACAACCTAATGTTAGTACAAAATTAAATGTGTAGATGTTTAAATTTTGACTACAGATTTTTGATATTGAAACAAATACCAAAATTATTGATTAACAAAAAAGTTGCTTGTAATTTCTTTTTAACATATATTTCTACACATATAAGATTGTAAGGTGTTAATATGATATATTTTTTTGTTTTTTTTTTAAAGTAGAAGTCATAATTCTCTATAAATAAATCAAAGTTGAACCAACTATGGTTGCCAATGTTTCATGCATACTGCAAAATATCAAAATAAAAATTTAAAATTATCGAATCATATTGAATTAATTTGATATGTTGTGTAATAGTATTTTTAAAAATCAAAAATTAAATTTACCTTAATCGAAGTTTGAATTAAGAAAATTATTATTTTAAAATGTCTTGATTGAATGTCTTACGGAAAAAAAAGTTAGAACCCATGTCTGATGGATATCATACATGAGTTTTAATTTTTTCTGATAGGTAGAACTTCATGTCAATTGAGAAGGTTTAGTGTCTTAAAATATCTTAATCATTTTGTCTTATGGGCAAAAGTTAGAAATTTTCTTAAAATAATTTTTTACTTAAAAAATAATATTAAGCGGGGTTGAAAAATCAAGATCACCCATTACTGAGATCATTTTAGAGAATTTTTTTAAAAGGGAAAAATTATCATAATCAGTCCATTTTAGGGTCATTACTAAACTTGACCGTTGAAAAAAGCTAAGATAAAAAATTGATCTTTAAGAGTGAAAATGACCCAAATTAAATTTAAAAATTAATCAATCATCTTTAAGTTATAGCCATTATTATTTCAAACATAACCGATTCGAGTTGCAATTGTGACCAATTATTGAGTTAAAATCAAATTTACTCAATTATTTATAATTAAAGATATTTATGAAACAAAGGAAATATGTATTAAAATTGAGATAATCATTTAATTAATTTAATAATGAAATCCTTTTGATTTAGCAAAATAAAGTAATTATTAATAATATAATAGGGTCCTGATCATAATTAAAGCACAGTTGGCTTTAATTTGAAAATATAAAAAACATACTCGTTTAAAATACTTATTTTTTTAATAAATAAAGTAGTTTTTAAATTAATAAAATGACATTTATTAATAGTTATTTCACTATGTTTGAAATTCAAGAAACTAAGTTAAAAGAAAAAGAATTGATTAATTAATTTAAAATATCTTTGGTCAAAATAGAGTCTCTACACCAACAACCACGACAACTAGCCATCATCACCACTAACTGCTATTAAATTTTTTTGGAAAAATATATATTATTGATATAGTATTAGATTAATTTCACATTTTTTTAAATTTATTATCATTATTTTAAATAAAGATAAATTTTACATATTCATATATTAATAATAATCATAATTATTTAGTATTCAAATTTAAAACAACATCTCAATTTTGAGATGCATAATTAGATTTATACATCTAGATCTAAATACACATCTTAATATTTAGATATGTATCTAAATTCAAACATCATAATTTTATTGAAATCAAATAGTTGGGGTTCTTGAGACCTCTGAAATTAAACTTATTTTTAGTCATTATAGAAAATAGTTAGTTAAATATCCATAAAATATTTAAAACTTTTGCAAAATAGACTTACAGTCGATGTTATCTTTGTATAATTTCTCTCTGTGATATCACAATCCCACTCACATTAGATC